TATGTTCAGAAACAAGGGGCTGAATACTTTTTTGCCTCTATTGATATTCTTCTTTACTGATCCGAATCTATATATAAAACTACTTAAAGTTATTCAGCATATATAACTTTAGATTCTAACTTTAATTAACCTAAATACACACTATTCATTTCACGTACAAAACTTAGATTAAATGTCTTAGGTTTATTAGGTCCAATGAGTCAATTAGACGCTTCCACCTGGACCCTTTTTTTTCCTTCACACGCCAACACTTAACCTCAAAGGTCTTCCTAAACCACCGTTAAAAAGAAAAACTAACACGAAATCACATTTGCTTTCATCTTTTCTTTCTCCTTTTCTTTAGAGCCTATTTAGAATAGTTTATAAATAGTTTTTTAATTGTAAATTGTAAAATACAAAATAAACATGTAAAAAAAAATTTATGCCAATTTAAATAAAGCATGCTTATAGATGTTTATAGTCGTGATTCCAATAAACTCTTAATCGGTTGAGTAGCATCTCGTGTAGTGTCTCACACTTGCTCTCTCTTATTGTCCCCTGCGACTGTAGCTACACGCTCCGTGAACAAAATCACACTCGCGTACCTGAACAATAGCCCCACCCCTCCAACCATCGACGGCACCCCCATCGGCGACACTTTGTTGCTTTTCTCGATTTTCTTCATGATGTGTTTGTCTTGAAGATTGGATCCAATGTGCAATTTGTCAAGAACTAATTGGTTTGGTATAACGATTGTATTGATTGTACTCATTAGCCACGTGATTTCAATATCTCAAGGGCGAGAGGAGTGAAACTTGCAACACCGGAAAGAAAGTTATTGGAGTGAAACACACACACACATTTTGATCCTTTAAATTTATTCTTATTTTTATTTTGATCTTTTAAATTTTAAATTATAGGTTTTGGTCCTTTAAATTTCTTTTCATTTAAAACATTGGTCCCTATAATCTAATAAAAAATAAGATCATTTTGTCTCTTAAAAGACCAAAATCTATAGTTTGAAATTTGAGGGATTAAAATCAAAATAAAAATAAATTTAAAGGACCAAAATTTATATTAACTGAAAAAGAAGTAAAAAGGAAGGGTTTATATTTGTTTTTTTTCCCCAAAAATTTTAATCAGCAAATGTGGTTTAATTCAACCTTTGAAATTAATTAAATACTGATGTGTAAAAATAATTTGAGTGGGAGCATCTGTTTGGCTCCCACGAGGGCTTATTTGGAATGGTTTCAAAGCAACTTTTCAATTATACATAATTTATAAAATATGAGGTAAGTATATTAAAAAAGTTTTGTTTCCTAATACGAACATATATTTATAACCACTTATGAATGGCACATTCAAACAAGCCCTACATATATTGGGCACAAGAAGGATCTAAATTTTATAGGATATTATGAGATGCTACCTCCAGTTGTAATATAAGACCTCGTTTATAGACTATAAACGAGATTTTATAATTAGGACTGGAAGTATTATTAGATTGAAGATAATCTCCACCTCTAAAAAAAGTGGATTGAGAATTAATAATGAACTATATATATATATATATATATTTATACGAACGTCGTTTCAGTGCATGTACTAATATCAGCTTTTGCCAATGCAAATTATATATTATAACATATAAGAAGCATATCTTCGTTTTGTCTTTTTGACTAATACATTGGACGAGATTATAAGACACATACACGGCAAGGAAACCAGAACGAAAATAAAATAATTAAAGACAATGAGACCACATGAGAATGTTTTCTTCTAATCGGAATGTGCCCCTAGCAGACAAAGTTTAAGTGCCAATCCAAATTATTAGATTGTGCGGACACACTGACACTTGACAAGAGTGATCATTTTCCTTTTTGTCGTCAATTATGCGTAAGATTTACTGAAATCAGCTAATATACCTTTACACTTGTCGACATTTCAATGTTCAGTTTTAAGTTTTAACAGATAGATAAAAGAAAAACGATAGGTAAGAAGTACTCAAGCTTGGAGGTTTTTATTTTGGCGAGATAAAAAGTAAGAGTATGAATTTTTTGAGTTTTAAATACATATTAAGCTTGTTAAATAATAAAACTTTCATGATAATTAATGCCACAGATAAAGTATAACACGGTTATAGTAATTAAACAACCCCTCCACCAAAAAAAAAAGGTCAACTATTTTGTTGGAGAACCTGCTGTGAGTATTGGATCCATTTCTCACTAAGGGATTTTAATTCCTCCACCATTAACAATTATGAAAATAATTGATTAGTCACTAATTAAGTTTTCAATTTTGAAATGAACAACGGAATAGAAGAAATCTGTCTTTCAGTTAACATTCACAAGCCAAGGTTGACTAACTTATCAAACTCAAAGCACACACTAATTTGCGCACCCCTGGAGAGCAAGAGGTTAATCAGCTCGTATCAAAATACTCATTGCCAACATGTTATTACTTCCCCTCCAAAATACAGAAGCTTTTTAATTAATTTCAAGAAGTTTGATAACTTAGTTTGTTATAACAAATAGATCATATTAAAATGCACATCTCTGTGTAATATTATATTTTATATTAGTTTGTAAGTAAGATAAATTATATTAAAAGAAAAATAACAAATAATATGAGAAATAAAGTAGATTAAACTATTATATTAAAGAATTAAGAGAATAATACTTAAACACGTGCATGATTTTACGGATCTTGGAAACCTGACTCATTGATCAAACATGTTCATGTGTTCCCTAAGCCATAAACCAATACATTTCAATACATCGATCCCTTGTGGTCTACCTGTTATATATATAAAATATCAAATCATATATATAGACTCCATTCGTTTAATTGGTTATATACGATTTGATTATATACAATCAAATAAAAGTAAACGAATGTGGCATTAAAAAAAAAAAATGAAACTGACATGTTCATGCGGAGTAACAATTATACTGATGATTCGTGTCACATTATAATACGTTTACTTTTAATTTGGGGCAACGATGAGGGAGACAATCTCAGATCAACCATTAATATTAATTCACAACATATGTGCTCTGTGTTTCAGGGTACACAAACAAGACCCTCCTCGGCTGTCTCCGACATTGCCCTCCTCTTCTTAACAAAAATGTCTCACTGTTTTAATTATCTCAGTGTTTTTATTTATTTGCATTTCTCGTCCCTAAAATATACAATATCCTTTTTTTAAATGAAAAAAAATATGATGCTCTTATATATTCTTCCTACGCTTATTATCTTTCCAATCGCAAATTCGGCGAACATAAGTAGGAGGAACGTTATTGTTATCACTAAAACACTATTTTCTATTGGTCTTATTTATGCTAATATAAATACCCCCAATTTGATATATATGGGTCATTTTATCCAAACGATGTTTATGGATAAAATGGCCATATAAAGCCAAGCTATATACTATATCTTATCCTTAATATAAGAGTTAGTTTGACTTTTAATTTAGTCTTAAATATAAAATTTCAATTATCTATTTTGTCTATCATATTTATTTATTTTTTTTAAAATGGTCTTTGTAGTAGGTGCACATATTAAAGGTTCAATCAAATGGTAATTTTAGCTAATACATGATTAGTAATGGTATTTTAAAAAAGACAACATATAATTATTATAATAACTAACTCAACAAACTTTTTTAATCTACTTAAATTAGTTAACTAACTCTTATATTAAGAATAGAAGGTAGTACATATACGCAATGATTTTTTTTTTTTTGGGTTGTTTTGTTAAGCGGCTACATGTAAAAGGATAAGGATGATTCTTTCGAAAATAGAGCAGCGACGTTGCTAGAGCTTCGTTGGCGGTGAGAATTTGCTGGCGCATAATGGAAGTGCATGTTAAAGATAAGAATAAGTTAGTGCAAGATTTTAAACAAAAAGACCCAGAGAGCACAAATATATAGATATATAAGAACCCAGAGAGCACAAATATATATATTTATATATAGCTGGGAAGAATCTGATGAGAGGAAGGTGTGACAAACAAATTGAAAAGGATCTGTCTGTGAAAGGTATTATTTGTCATTTCATTTCGTAGCTCCGTGTGGGTGGCTCTGAGATATGCATCTGGAGAGCATTAATTAGTTAGTGCCATCGGCATTATAGCAGACGCAATACTTCATAACATATATATTCGAAATTATCACAAAAGAAACAAAAAAAAAAAACACACTGAGCATATCATTTAGAATTCAAAAAAAAAAATCCTCATCCCTGCATATGACCATATCTTTTAACTTGTTTGTGTTTCTTCTAATAACATCGCTCTTATGATATGTTTTTATTTGGAACATCCAGATGTGATTTGGATGGTCCAAATTTAATTTATTTTTTATTTTCACTTTTTTAAAATAATTATTTTAATAAGTATAACATCTTAAATAAAAGTAATCTTTTAACTAGTATTCTTTAAAAATAATTTTTATTTAAAAAGAAACGTAAAAAAAAATTAAATCTCGATTATTCAAATCAGATTTAAATGATTTAAATATGATGAGTTTGGGATGCTCATAACTCTGATGAGCACCAAAACTCACAAGAAAAAAAAAACTCAACATATCATATAGAATTAAAAAAAACATATTTCTTAATTCATTCTGACCTGAGAGTGTTTGGGAACCAAACCATAATTTTAAAAATGATTTTACAATATGAGTTTATCTTGCCTTACATGAAATGCTTGTAAAAAACACTTTGTCTGGGTTTCTTCTAATAGCATGGATCTTATGATATGTTTTTAAATTTTAATCTTCATTCATCATGTGAGCAGTTTCAATGTTTAATAATTTATTAAGATATGAAGTGTACATATATTGCTTCAGCAACTGAATGGCTGAGAGAATTATTTGTGATTTATTCTGATTATTATAGTTTCAATCATTTGTGCAGGAAGTGCATGAACCTCTTCTGCCCTATATATACCAGGCATTTGGAACATCTTCCCCCATTCACAAATACTGAAGGGCATAAGAGGTGCAGAACAGAGCGAAAATGCCTTCTCCTTCTTCTTCACCCCTCACTGTACTCTCCAAATGCACTTTATACCCTAACCAGAAGTCCACCCTCTCAGACCTCAAGCTCTCCATCTCCGACCTTGCCATGCTCTCTTGTCACTACATTCAAAAAGGTTGTCTCTTCCCCCTGCCTTCTCTACCCTTTCACTCTCTCCTCCCGCACCTCAAGTCCTCCCTCTCTCGCACTCTCTCTCACTTCCCTCCTCTCGCCGGCCGCCTTACTACTGATTCCCACGGCTATGTTTACATCACCTGCAACGACGCCGGCGTCGACTTCCTCCATGCCTGCGCCCCCGGTTACTGCATTCGCGACCTCTTGTCCCCACCCGACGTCCCTGACCCCTTTAAGCGTTTCTTCACCTTTGACAAAAAGGTCAGTTACACCGGCCACTTCAGCCCACTTTTGGCCGTTCAGGTCACCGAGCTTGCAGACGGGGTCTTCATCGGTTGTGCCATGAACCATGCCATCGCTGACGGCACGTCGTTCTGGAATTTCTTCAATACCTTCGCCGAAGTGTGTAGAGAGGCCACTAAAATCTCCAACGTACCCGATTTCCGTCGGGATTCGATTCTGATTTCCAAAGCGGTCCTAAAATTTCCCGAAGGGGGGCCAGAGGTCACGTTCAATCCATACGAACCATTGAGGGAGAGAATTTTCAGCTTCAGCAGAGAAGCCATACAAAAACTGAAAGCCACCGTGAACAGCCAGAAACTCAGAACTGACGAGGAGCTTAACGCCATCGAGTGGATAGGGAAGCAAAGCAACGATAATTACCATAACAACAAAGGCAAAGTTGAGGAGATATCGTCGTTCCAGTCACTTTGCGCGCTGCTATGGCGAGGCGTGACGCGTGCGAGGAAGTTGCATCCGTCGAAAACGACAGTGTTTAAGATGGCAGTGAACTGTCGAATGAGATTAGCACCCAAATTGAATCCATACTATTTCGGGAACGCGATTCAGAGCATACCCACGTATGCCACCGCAGAGGACGTCCTGTGTAGGGGTCTACGGTGGTGTGCGGAGGAGCTGAACAAGAACGTGAAGGCGCACGATGACGCTAAGGTGAGGCATCTCGTAGAGGAATGGGAGAGTAACCCGAGGTGCTTCCCGCTGGGGAATCCGGACGGCACAGCGGTGACGATGGGGAGCTCGCCAAGATTTCCGATGTACGATAACGACTTCGGTTGGGGGAGGCCTGTGGCTGTTCGGAGCGGGGGAGCGAACAAGTTCGACGGGAAGATATCGGCTTTTCCGGGGAGAGAAGGAGGTGGGAGCGTGGATTTAGAGGTGTTATTGGCGCCGGAGACGATGGAGGGGCTGGAATCGGACCTGGAGTTCATGGCTTACGCATCGAGTTCTTGGTGCAATTGATGACGATGCTCTGACTAACGTGGACCCTTTGTTTTTTTAGATTAGTGCTGATGATTTGAATTGTGACATCTGTGGTTTTTTTTTTTTTGGGGACCATTTTTGTGGTATCTGTGTTTGACCCTTGCTTTTGTCTTCATCTCATGTAATGTTTGCCTCTTTTAAGTCAAGTTGTTTAGGGAAAGAAAGCCAGAAAGCCAAAAATCCACTTTCATTTTCTACAATTTTATCCTGCTTTTATTTTGTTCGAATAATTTATTTCCCTTTTTTTTTGTGAGGTTCGAATAATTAATGAGCACTCTTTATATTCTTATTGATAAAAAATTAATAAAAATATAAATAAAAAAATTATTTCTAAGATAATTATAAATATTTATTTATCAAAAATTAATTCTAACAGAATCACATATGATCAACAGATGAAGACCAAAAAATTGCCTACATATGTAATTAAAAATTCATATTGATACATATATATATTGTTAGTTGTAGATAAAGTATAGGGAAAATGACCATAAAATGCATTTTGAATTTTAAAATGATAAACAGGTTATACTGACTATTTTTATATGTTATAATCAACTACTTTTTTTTAATTATTTTTCTTATATAACGGTCGTAAATTTAAGGAGATGTTCTGTTGAACGAATCAGCTTTAGACAGAATGGAAGCTATATCTCTCTCGGGATTTTTGTTCTAAATTTTGTGGAGTTAGGAGGGGAAGCAAAATTTGTTCAACCGACACCAAATTAGTTTTTAGTTTTTACGATGGGAAAAGGCCAAAAAAAAAAGTTAAAAAAAGTAGTTTTATTTTCTGGACGAATGAGGCCTCAAAGCAGAAGAAAGGCCCAATAGGAAACTGGGAGCCTAACAGGTAGACTAGCCCGTCCTTAAAGCACACCAAAAAATGATAAGAACAGTAAAAGGACAATAAACATTTGAGAAAGTTAAAATTGTACAAATATATACAATTTAATTAGAAAAACTAGTCAATGTAATAAGCTCGATTTGACCGACTTAGTTGCTAAATTTCTCATATTTTTCATCGTCATTGATAAAAATAAACAAGTCTTTGTCTATGAACATTTTCAATCGTATTTGCTGCAAATATTACAATATTTTTAGAATGTTAGTTATATTTCCAGGTTCAAAGAATCTAACTATGATTTTTCACGAACCACCCTATTTTATCTTCCTTTAATTTCTTATTCATGAATCTAAATTAGCAAGTGCATGAACATTCACATGTACTGAATACATTAAACACATTAAATATTAGCATTTAATTTTAAAGATACATCATAATTTTAACATAGATCATGAATCGACATTAATGATTGAAAGTTTATAAAGACGACTTTAAAGTCTCATGCACAGATATTAATCGAAATGAATGAGAAGAATTCTCTCCAAACTTAATTGTTTCTAAAAATTATTCCCTCCGCTTCAAAATATAAGCTAAACTTTATCCATTTACATTCATCAAGAAACTAGTTAAAATTAGTTTAAAGCAATAAATATGTAAGGCATATAATTTTTTTAAAATATACCCTTGTTAATGAAGAGAATGAGTAAGAGAATGCAATAAATGAATAAAAAAGGAGAGAGAATATATGGTGATGAAATTGAAAAAAAACTTATTAAATGCTTAGATAAAAGTAAATGTTATCTTATAAAAAAAACTAAGCCTTTCAAACAAAGTTTAGCTTATATTTTAAACCACAGGGAGTACTACTTTATAATTATTTCATTAGTTTTATAATATTTTATTCCTTTCAAGACATCGAAATTAGTTGAGGAGCTTGTCTTGGTGCTTAGTACGTCCTGTTCTTAATACTATTTTTGGTCCTAATTATAACATCTTGTTTATACTTTATAATCTAAGTCTTGTAATTAGAACTGGAGGTAGTATAAGAACTAGTTGACTAATTTGAATATGTTAAGAAAATTAGTTAAGTTAGTTATTTATAATAATTAGATGTTGTTTTCTCAAAAATATCTTTGCTAAGCACGTATATTAGCAAGAACTCTCATGTAATAAAATATTTAGTATATGCAATTATTATAAGGACTAACTTAAAAAAAATAAATAGATATGATAGATAAAGTAGACTGCTATTATGTTATACCAATGATAGAAGGTAATCCCTTCCGTCTCATGATACTAAGGAGCGAAGATGATCCATTGTCTGCTGCTTTGGATATAGTCCTGACATAGATTCGTGCTGGAATTATTTCTTTGCTCTCTATATAAGAAAAAGCCTCGGCATCATCATCATCACTACATTTTAATTTTTTTTTTTCATTGGCAAGTTTACTCACCAAAAATGAAATCTGGTTTTGAATTGAAACAAGACAACGTGTGGATCAACAGAAAGCCTAAAAGTCTGCATGTAATAAGAATAGGCAAAAGTATTTTTCTTTTAACTTTGTTGCATTTAAAGCCACTCCATAATCCTTTCGTCAAAGGGGAATCTCTAATTTTCTCTCAGTGTTTCCAACATTACCCAAGTCCACATCTTTATAATCAAACGGTAATTAGTTTTCAATTATTTTTGGAGAACAAGGATGATAAAGAATGGTAACCCCAACTTATATAGATCCCATGTGCAGATCCAAACCACTGTTCGTGTGTAAACGGTTCGTGATATTCAAAGATGGAAGCAGGCCCTGTGCATGACTCGAGTGTTATCCTGTATACGCATGCCTAGGTGAATACTCTTGAAAAGAAGCCAATCAGAATTCCAAGCATCATTAAAATATAATCCGACAAACTAGACTCAGACACACATAATACCAAGTTGAGTGAGCAAGCAGAGGAGAATGTCTAGACATTTCAAATACTCCAGTAAAAAAAGCTACATGTCAGTACGTCATTCATAATTTGAAGCTATAATAATACTTCTAAAACTTCTACTGTTTCTGCTAAACCTAATTTCACTAAGTAACAGTAATGAATTATGTTAAAATAACATCTTCTACCCTCCCACCACTGTGTTTACAGAAAGCTTAAGCGCAAATCTAATGCTGGGCTATCCATATTTTCTGCCATTGAGGACTGAAACATGCTACTATCATCCCCATATCTATTCGCTTGTGCCCTCAGTTTCTCTGCTTCTGATTCACCAAGGGAGTTCAAGGGAAACAGTTGAAGAGTCTCTATCACTCTCTCTGGCTCTTGACCTTGATCCGCCTCTGCAAAATCTGTCAAAAGGAACTATCTTTAGGAAAAGGCTCAGAACCCAAACAACGTCATGTAACAAAAAATAAGGAAAATACTCACTGTGTGCGGGAGATGACAGAGAGTTTTGACGGCCAATGTTACTGAGATCCTTGTCGTGGAATGAGACCTTGCGACGCTTCTGTCTTTCCCTGGCTTTATGATTCTGAAACCAATAAAACACATTCTTGCTCTCGATCTTGCCATAATAGCTAAGCTCAGTGGAGATCTTCTGAATCTGATCAGTGCTTGGGGTTCTCAGTCCAGACATGAACAAATCAGTAAGAAGCTTAACCTGTTCTGTTGTCGGATTCCAACGCCCACACTTAGTTCCACTACTTCCACTATTCCCGTTACTATCACCTCTCCGAAAACTTCCTGGTCTGATACAAAACCCTGACATGCCATCTTCCATATCCTTCACTTTCAGATCACAGATATGCCCCTGTCTCTGCCTCTGAGCACTCTACTTTAGGCTCTGAGCTTTCTCTGACTCTGTGTTTGAGCATATATAAACATGCCATAACTGAATAATTTAATACCAAAAATCCTTGTCTCTTTTCTCTTAACTTCTTTTGTCGGGTATCGCAGATGATCAGCTCTACATGTTGATAGTTTTCTGCCCGCTTTGAATTTGGTGAATTCGAGATTGAACTATGTTGAGAGCTGCTTTTTGTAAGCAAAAGCAAACACAAAGATAAAGACATGCGCAAAAGTAGCCACTGTGTGAATTCGCACTTATATTTTTAATTTCCTCGAGTTCATGTGTTTTACACATCACGTGTTGGGATTTACGTGGTCACACTAAGACTGAATGGATCACAATCTATTTTATTATCAGCATTCTATATGTAGTGGCCTTTTATGTGTATTGGAGTGAATTTTTTAATCAAGGCTTGGCATAGTAATCACATACAAGACATGCGAATTGAACAAAACTCGGTGTTTTTAAAAGAAGTGGCTGTCTGCTAAAGTTCAAAGTGGGAAGTGAAAGTCAAAGCTGCACGTTGTGGGATGTGAGTTGGACGGTTGTGATCATAAGAGATACTGAGTTAGGTTGACTTAGGGTTCATGAAAGATCTTCTTTTTAAGGTTATGTGGGAACATAAACTAGGTGACACGACTTGGAGAGACAGACAACTCATGACCAAAAGGGGCCAAAAAAAAAAAAAAAGTGATGCCACTTGGCTTTTCTCATGTCACTAGCTCCTGTCTTGCGTATTTTGTCACTGGTATTCATTCATATTTTAATACTACTTCTGATCTTTAATATAAGAGCTAATTGACTAATTTGAATAGATTAAAAAAATTAGTTTAGGTTGGTTATTTGTATTAAATTTGTGTTGTTTTTCATAAAATATCCTTACTAATCAAATGTATTAGCTAGAACTATTATTATTACAAAGGCTATCTTGAAAAAAAAAAAGAGAAACAAAATGAATTGAAATCTTATACTTAGAACCAGAATAAAATATTAATGACCGGAGTTAATAATTTGCTAGAGACAACAGAGGCGACTTTCTGCAATTCCCAAGGGCGTAGTTTCATTCTGTCTGTTCATATTTGGCGCAATGGCTTGACTTCTCTAACTTCAAGGGGCTTTGGACTGAAGCTGTTAACCCAACTGTGCATAGGTTAGGCAGCTAGCCACTTGGTTTTATATGACTTATCATCGAGCAGCTCAGTCTCGAAACACAGACATTCTTGGTCACAGATACGTGTATAATGCTTTGAATTCAAGTTTCTTCTTTGATTTGTACATAAAATGATATAATATTTTAGGTTGCGAAATTTGCTTGAAGGAGAAGAAGCGTTGGAAATTGTATATGGAATGAGCTAATACAAGTATTCACACCAAACAGGGCACTTATCTCCAGAATATCAGCTTTTCGAGATGATTGGTGATCGTTGGCTGTTTTGATCGGGCGGAAGAACTCAGAAATCAGACTCTGGTTGAAACGCTCTTAACTTGTTGGTGTTTAACATAATTTAGATCTTGCTGGATAGGCTAAGAGTAAATTGTGTCAAAAGAAAAGAGAAGTTGGGGGGAATAGGGGAAGGCGTGAAAGATAGAAGGCTTACTGTGCTCCGTAAGATCCGTGTCTTGTTTACTTTCTTGTCTCCATAAACCTTAAATCTGTTGCTTCTCTTTTTCTGGGAACAGCAAGCGGCCACCACCACCATCATCACCATGCGCGACAAAAAGCATATTATGTGTGATACCTTTGGGGTATTAATATAATAGAGTGCCATTATTTGTGCTTAATACAGATAATGACAGATATAGCAGAGATTAGGCGAGACATGCATAGGAACATTCTCCAGCCATGACCCTTCAACAAGTTGGGCCCACCCATCACTTCCTCTATTTCAGCCACTAGTACATAATGGTGATTTATTATTTATAATATTTATATATATATATATATATATATATATATATGCGCTTCACAATTCAGTTATAACTCACGTTTTGATTTGGTCTCAAAATTTTTTCTAGTTATTTTAATAAAGTTCTTCATGTTCTAAACAAAAATTTAACATCCTTGTTTCTCCTTTCCTTTTTTCCGTCTACTAAGCCATAATTTTTGCAGATTTTGGATTATTTTAGAAGGGGTGTATAGTTGATACTGTCAATTTTGCCCGACTAAACGAGTCATTACCTAAATTGTTTATGATACTTAGGAGGCCTCATGGGCATGGATGATTCGTGCTTGGATAAACAGACGAGTTAGAAATTTGATGACAATGAAAAAGGATGCATCAAAATCAGATGGAATAGTATAACATGCCCCTGGAGCTGGGGACAAATTTGAGAATTTTGAGGACATGTAATCCTGTTACTTTTTAACTTATCTGGCTCCATAATTGTAAAAGGCAACTCCATCCAACAGTTAACAGTTCAAACACTTTCTTCTCCAACTCACATGAATACATGATCGTTTCCAACGATTCTGGTTTCATTTTATTCCGCCGCATCACTCCCAGGGACAAAAAAAGGAAAAGAGAAAAAAGACGTGGCCAGCCCCAAAGACTACGCAATTTAGATTGATATATTACGCCCGGCAGCGATGAGAGAGCGCGGGAGCCTGGAAAGGGACATCAACTCTCCCTCATACAATCTTACATCTTTAGCCAGCTCAATTTTTCCAAGCGAATATCAATTTTAATTTACTTTCTCTTTTTCCATTAAACTCCATTCGAATAAACGACTGGGGACTGACAGAGCGACCAGGTAAATAAACATTGTGCCAGGTAGCATTGAAAAAAGATCTGGCCAGATTTCTTTAGAAGATGAGGGATTACAATACGGGTGAACCGTTAAACTGGAACTTGGATATAATTAAGAGAAGCCTATGAATCTCAGCTCCAAAAACAACAAAAAATAATAATAAACTACAAAATTTAAGAGGGGGGGAGGGGGGAAAAAGACTTGACGTGTTTCAGTAAATAACACAAAAGGAACTTCACCAGCAAAATCGCCTAGGCACAACGATCGACAAAAAGAATCACAGAATCTGAGCAGCTGTGTTCAATTTTTCAGCCAGGCTCAGCTGTGTCCTTGTGATACTTGATAAATAGAGCAAAAGCAAATGATCCTGCAAGGAAAACAAACACTCAATCAAACAAAATTACAACCGGCAAATCTAGGATGTTCCCATAAACCAAGAAATAACCAAAAACCTGTAGCCCATTGAAACAAAATCTTTACCTGCAGACTATCGTTCACGAGCTTATCAAAAGCTGAAGGGGGCAATTTGGGAAGGGAACCTACAGCGTTAGATATAAACCTCCCGACATTATTGTCTGGCACAGCCCGCCCTTCCTGATTATAAAGCGGTTAAAAAATCAATTTTGTTCTTATTAAAGAACTATGCATGGCATGAATATTCAGAAGATAATGTCAGCATACCACAACATCATCAACATATTTGTAGATGTCATCAATCAGGGCGAGTAGACGTTCCATTGATGTTTCCATCCCTTCCAAATCATTTGGGATTTTGTCAACAGTTGTTGCCTTCAGAGTATCGACTGCCATCGCCAGAAACAAGAAACAAGCAAACTTAGATTATTCAAATCATCATCAAGAATAACTCCTCTGATTCGCAAGTCTATACAAAAACTGAAAACGAAGCATAAAATAACTCATCAGCCACCTATAATATCAAAATACTTAACATCGGTTGAAATTTGCATAAAAGTATGCCATATAATAATTTTGAAAGACATTAAGTAAAAGATGATATTTTTTAAATTGAAGGACATCTCTATGCATCCATCTACCATTGAAAGAAAGAACATGCATTTTAACATGAGAAAGAAAACGCAAGCTCTGTAAAGAAAACAAAAGGATAGCTATAACGTTGAGATGCAATAAAAACATACATCCAATTCGCTCAGCTTCCACCATGCGAAGATCCAGAGGAATTTCTTGAAACTGAGCAGCAATTTGCCAATCTCCGAGAGATAAATTGTGTGATACATATGCTTTTATGGTTCCCCCTCCATTTGTGAATCCTGTATCAACTGTCAAGTGTACAGGATTGGGAACTTCTCGAGAATAAAATTCATGGATTAATGCACTACCCCCATTCACTCCAAGACCAGTTGAATACCTGCATAAATACCAAAGTTAGCATAAGTGGTTTTCCCCAGAGTAGAAGAAATAAGAAACCGGAGATAAACAAAACAGTTATAGATGCAAGCATACCAAGAAGTTAAAACTAACTAATAAAGTCGTGGATGAGATAAACAACTCAATAAGGAAGTTCTTGAACTCCAGTCCATATAAGATCGTCACTTTACAGTGACAAGTGAAGATGCTTCGCCATCACAAATCATCAAGTCATCAATTAAATCCTAAGCCCCATGAATGATTTCTTGACACAACCTCATAAAACCTAATAAGTTGCCTAGTCATGTGGTAAGACTTTGAAACTCTCGAATGAAAATACCGTTACTAGCACTTGATTCTTAAGCATAACGCTTAAAAACACTACAAACACTACAAAGTTTACAAACATTGGACTTACCACCCAACTATGACTTCCTTTGGGTTCACTTTTTGGTGGGAAATCAACATATTGTGGTGGTACTCAATGTCCAAAGCAACCTGTAACAATAAAATAAAGATTAGAAAGGAAAGATATTTGATTTTAAAAAATCACGCCATGAAAGGACAAGATTTAGATAAGTAACTGATAGAGTCAACTACAAAGGCATCCAATCCCCGTACCACCCAGGGTTATCCACGTTTTCAATCAAAAGAAGCCTATGGGCATGGATTTCATCACTTGCATTGAAAAACATATGAAGTTTGTCCATTCTAATTTCTTATATATGAAATCATTTACCCCACACCAGCGTGGAGAAAAAGAAACCATCTCTGGAGGAAAAGATGATCAATACCCTCAATCCTCAATATGAACAGGCAATAGATAATTCATCTGAAGCAATATTTTAACCAGAGCTAAAATTCATCGTCACCCCATGTAGATCCCTCATCTATTCCAAATGAATAAAGCTTATCAGTTTTAAAAAAACATTTGCTTGCCAACAAGTGGTTCTTAGTGAGGGAGCAAGCCGCCAGTAAACACCAATCCTTTGTAACTCATTATAACTGCCGGAGTTCTACATGCCCTCGTTGGCATGAAATTTAAGCAGCGCACCAGATTTCCTTCCAGGCACATAAGTCAATACAAGGATCACAACGGGAGAAACGGGATCAAGCCGAGACCAGGGAAACAATTAAGAATGCAACATACTATGACTACCTTTCAACGGACGAAAATCAAACAGGGGATGATTAGAGCTACATGTTAAGCAAATAATACGACAGAAAACATAAAATGGGCAACATGTTACATGTCTCGGATCAACTATGGAACTGGCATCAGCAATGAATGTACGAAGGACCCCAAAATATCCGGGGTTAATAATTGGTACCTCTAGATTTCATCCAACAATAAACTGAATAATTGAAATGATTAATCACAGGGCTGAAGATTAATAACGTCTACTAGGTTTAGAAAATAGAATAAAATCGCCCCCTAACTACTACAAATCCGAACGTAGAACAAGAACCGCGCATACCTGTCCTAGAGACTCATTGTGGGGAACAGCATAGGAATTACGGATATCAACGGTTCCATCGGGCAAGACAGAACCAAGGAGTGTTCCGATGACGCGCTCCGCTTGGTCCGGACGTCGGACATAGCAGTCGCAGATGTTGAAGATAACCAGAGGATGAACCTTCGCAGATAGGCTCTGCGAAGAGGAAGAGAACTGCAACACGGTGCGCTCGCTCGCCGCCATGCTTGGAGCTTTGATTCGGCGGGTTCAATTCACCAAACAAGGCGTGCGAGGAAGAGAGCGCAAAGTCAAAGGAGCCAGCAAGGTAAGACGGCAATACGCTAGGGTTTTAGATATGGGCTGAATGGGCTTCACAATTAACTCGTTTCATCCCAGAAACCTGGGCCGGAGAGCCCAAATCAACGAGCCTTTCTCCTTAATAAAACTTTCATGTTTTGTTGAGGGAAAAAAGAGCCCATTTTAAACGATATCAAGGTTATCCTAGTTGGTCGGGGGAAAAAAGCAAGAAGGTTCTCCCATTTAATCCAATGCGTTATCTTTATTCTTACCACCTGATATTTTTTTTAACACAAAAGCTTTATTCAAAAAAAAGAACTTTATTAATGAAAGGAGCAACGATACAGAGAGCAACCAGCAAGATAAGGCTGGTTAGATACGATACAGGAAAAAGAAAAGCTGACCTATGCCACCAAGATAAGGCTGGGTGCCCATCCTTAATTAACAAAACTAGTAGTAGTGATTATGCGAATTTAAAATTATTTAAATTCTTTTAAATGAAGTTGAGATTTTAAACCTTGTGATTAAAAAATTATATGAGACGAATCATCTATAATTGGCATCAACACTGGGATATGATTAATAGAATCATGTACCATATAACTGGTATTAAAAAATATTGCATTTTTAAAATACATTGGGAGGGCTTTCTTAATTTTTTTTCCCACTAATTACATAGAGAGCTGGAGACCAATACGAACATATCAATGTTCAGCTTGAACTCGAAATCTCGTTCAAATATTGCAGGTAACATTGTCATCAGAGCAACTTCCCAATAGTATGTACTTCTACATTTTACCTTCTTCATGATAACATTATGTATCGTACTCACATTCTTTAATGAACGAGCATGCACTTCGAAGTTAATTGACTTGCGATTGAAAATGTATTTGTAAATCTGTATCAAAACAAAGGAGAAAATGTATTATGAATCGAGGCAAAAAAAGTAACATCCTAAAGCATGTTTATTTTTAATTTTATTATTAGTGGAACTGAATTTTAATATTTTCTTTTAAAATTTGTCTTCTTAGTGTTAAAATTGGATTTAGGGGGAACAAAATTAATACGTGCCTCTCCTTAGCAAGAGTTTTGTTAAGTTCTGATGCATCAACGCCGGTATGATTACGCTCGGAACAAGCTCGTAATCAGGTTTGAATATTCTACAGGCAGAAAGGGGACTTATCAAAATTAGTTTTATAACTCAATACTGGTGACCACTTTCCTAATGATAATTGATCACCACAAGTATTAAATATATGTATAATGATTTTTCAAGTCACTTTTTTTCCCCCCTCCGGAAGAATTACAAACCAAATTAATTCAAATCCAACCATGCGATGACTCATATGAACAGCAACCCTGTCACCTGTTCTGGTACTTTTCCAAAAGATCAAACTCATGACCTTTAATTAAGTTACAACAGCTTTTACAAGTTGATTCAAATATTCGGTGCGAGTCGCTTTCATTCTTTGCTTAGCTTCTACCCATTTTTGATTCTTTATGTCCTCCTCGACAGAAGAAACAAATTCTTAAATAATCTTCTTCTATCCGTATCATGCAGAATCAATCAACGCTTGGCGTGCACAAGCTATGTAGGTTTAGATTATCAAAATGATGCTTGCCTTTCAGCAAAAAGGGTAAGGACGATCAAAATAATGTATACCCGGTAGGAGCGGAATTCAATTCTCGCAATGTAATTGCACGTCCTGTTCGGTTAAGCAGCGAGAACTCAAACAAACCCATTTAAATCTAAATAAGTACTCCTTCCAATTTTAAATATAAGACTCTTTTTTATAATATAAATTATACTATAAAATAGGTTTTATTTTTAGGACTGATGGAATAATTATGAAGCATGTTTATCTTGTTTAGGTAATTTTTATGAAATCTTGATGAATTATGATTTTACTCTTCCACTGTACTTTTAGGATAAGCATCAAAGAATAATTTATACATTTGAAGAATCCCGATCAATTTTTATCAATTGAATTTTCTCTGATCCATCCTCCCACACTCTTTCAAAAAATCTCTTCCCAAATAATTATATTTAATAATATTTATTAAATTTATGTCTTTTTGGTAATTATATATTCATAAGTGATTTTAATAAATAAAAACCAAATATGATGGCAATTCTTAAAGTCACTTATTAAAAAAAATCCAAACAAAAAATCATGATTAATCAATATCACTTATAGCTAGTATCACTTATAAAATTTATGATGATCTATAGTTGTTCACCACTAATCCAAACGGGCACTAAATTATATTACACGAATACAATATAATTTATTATAATTTTATATATCTGATATTTACATTAATATTGTTGTTGATATTGGTTGTTTATATTAATTTTTTATATTTTTATCAGCTATTTTGCCCTTTAAACATTATCATAAAGTGTATCCAGCCAAACACACTTCAGATCAAAAAATCCAGCCAAACACACTGCAAAATAACATTTTCAGTCTTAAAATTGTACTCCTCCGGTCCTAAATGTAAGACCCTTATACTAGTGTAGTATAAAGGTCTTACATTTAGGACCGGAAAAGTATATACATATTTATTGATAGCTGAATTAATGTTTAGGTAGAAAAAGGCTGGGCCAAAAAAAAACGTTTAGGTAGAAAAAGAAATCAGTGTACTGATTAAACAAACATGATGCCATTCGCGATAGTGCCCAATTTTAATTAATTGTTGTGTGGCGTTGTTATCACGAGCTGAGATTTGAAAAAGATAATGCAACTTGAGCCTAAATCATCATCATTAGCCACTAATGATTTGACGCTTGTGTAATTCATATTTTACCAAAAGAAGGTAACGTGCACAGAAATATATTCCACAAGTTAATAAGTTGAGATTGTAGACGGAATCCAACTTACGACTTCCTGGTTATAAAATATTATCCGCAGTTCTGAGATTTGGCTAATTGGGAAAGTTTCAACAAATATAAATAGTTTAAAATAATTTAATAATTTTTTTAATTTTTTCAAATTAATTAACTAAATTTTGTAATAAGTATTGGAAGTCCGGCTCTTTAGGTGACTTCGATGTGCCTAAATCATTAGTTAAGGAAGAACAACGTGTAGCCGTAGAAATTAACTCCAAATTTCTCAAGCACGGTATGCCTCTCCCAGGACCTTGACCATAATCGAACCTGCTCTTTTAACGAGCCTGTTCAACTGTTAAAGTGGGGACGACGCGTTGCTTACAGGATATTTTTCACGTAATCACTAATTACATGTTAAGAGATATAAATTTTACTCCAACACTTGGAAGATAATGATTTAGGAAGTGTTTAGGTAGATATCAAACCATGATTTTAAAAATAATTTTATGATATATGAAGTAAATATGTAAACAAATTTTTCTTAATTTGTAAAAAAAATATTTTTTAAAAGTATTTTTATCACTCGCCAAACACCCCGTTTTGTGCACACAATGGCGATGTTAGTGCCTGTGTGTGATGTTAGTGCCTCGTCTTGCGAGATGTATATATTCTTTTAATCTTTAATAAAATATTTATTTAACTTATTTGATCAAATTAAAAAAGTTAGATAAATTACTTAATTATAAGAAATGTGACACATTTTTTTCTAAAATACTATAATTATTTTTCTTAATACCTTTTCTTTTTCTTATACTTAATTATGATTGAAGGAGTATTTATAAGAATAATTTAAAAAAATTGATAAATATGAAAAATAAGTCTTATATTTAAAACCAAAACTAACTCAATAATTATATCTTATATTAAAAATTAAAAGAGTACTTATTATCCCCCACTAGGCTATACCTCCGGCTACGAAGGTACTTGCGTTGGCAAGCGCATTGTTGAGGACCCAGATTAAGAAAAAAACGGTGTGGGCCAGAGTTAGGTGGCAGTATCATCATCAGCCAGCCCCACCCTCCCCCTCCTTGGCGTATAACCTAATCCATTTCTCACCCCCATTTACTCCTGTGCATGACCATCACCATGACGAAGAAGACAATATATTTTTTTCTTTTTCTTTTCTTTATTGGATGATTTAACAGATACACAGTCACAGCGATACAAAGAGGCCCACACACATCGGGTTGAGCCCCCTTCCAACTTCTAAAAGCAGAGGAAAGCTGGCCCTTCACGCAACATGCAGTCCCCAGAGCAGTAATACAAACATTAAATACATCCTTTACATATTACAGCAAATATATAAGAAGAAGCGGACACTGAAATTTTGCTGATACAAAAACACCCACAAACTCAGGCTTCATTTAATTTTGACATCCCATACATATATATATCCTCACTTGGATTTGAACGGGATGGCCCTGATCACCAGCACGTGGTACGCTGCCGCCAGTGCTGCTCCGATGAATGGTCCCACCCAGAAAACCCACTGCAACATAATTAAACACATCCATCATAAATAAATGCCCTCCGCCGTGAAATCTGCGTCATATATATTAAACAGAAATAGGACATAATATATCAGATCGGCTAAAAACACTTACGTGTTCATGCCAGCCATCGTGTTTGTTGAAGATGATGGCAGCTCCGAGACTTCGAGCTGGGTTGATACCGGTTCCGGTGATGGGGATGGTGGCCAAGTGAACCAAAAACACAGCGAACCCAATCGGCAACGGTGCCAAAATCTGGTCCAAAATTCATTCATATATACTCAAACGTCACAAAACAAAAACTAAAATACTTCATGATCTATGGTATAACTATATATAGACGTCGAAAGTTTCAAACTCTGAGTTTACTTACGGGGACGTGGGAGTCGCGAGCGCTACGCTTGGCATCGGTGGCTGAGAACACGGTGTAGACAAGGATGAAGGTGCCGACAATCTCAGCACCGAGGCCATCCCCTTTGGTGTAGCCGTCGTTCACTTTATTGGCACCACCGCCATTAATGCTGTATATATTCTTGCCCTCAAAACCCTTCACCACACCAGCACCGCAGATCGCACCCAGGCACTGCATCACCATGTAGAACAGTGCCCTCGTCAACGACAACTTCCTCCCCAAAAACAACCCAAATGTCACGGCCGGGTTTATGTGACCACCTGCCACCCAATCACAAAAGAAAAAATCACTTCTCAATCAGCTGCCCGTCTAGCTCAGTCGGTAGAGCGCAAGGCTCTTAACCTTGTGGTCGTGGGTTCGAGCCCCACGGTGGGCGTTTCTTTTTTTCCCCTTCGCCTTAAGATTATTTGATTTAAATTTTAAACAGATGAAGAGACCGAACCTGAAATTCCAGCTGTGCAGTACACGAGGGCGAAGATCATGCCCCCGAAAGCCCAGGCGATTCCTTGAATTCCGACGGTTTTGCACTTGGAGTCAGCACGGCTGACGCCCATAACAGTCAAGACGGTGATGTACAGGAAAAGAAAAGTGGCCACGAACTCGGCGATCCCGGCTCTGTAGAAGGACCACGACGTCAGCTCCGATGGTTCAAACAGAGGCGCCGGCGGTGGCTCCTGGTAGTCCTTCCCGTCGTCTTGGCTCTGAGCCGCTGTCCCGATGGGCTGCCTCTCCGGGAACTTGTTCGCTCCCAACGAAACATCCTGCTCCTTCCCCTCCATTTTTCCCCCTGCTGATTCTCCAAGGTTTGTGACAGACACGGAGCGCTGAGAGGTAGTGATGAGTATGACGAGGGGTTCACTTGTTACGGATTTATAAGCGGAATCAAGTTTAGTTGAGAAAGATGAGGATGAGAAGTGGTGGGGTCCATAAGGCGTAATATATTGAACTCATTTTCTCATCTTAGGGCCGTCCTCTCATTTTCTCGTACATTCACCATTTCGCTGAACAGTGACTTGGTTGGCCTATTCGGTTTAAGTCCGAGCCCTAGCGGGTACATTGCCAGCTGGCATGATGCTAGCCACTCGCACGTTACCGACCATGTTCTGCGCCGCACTGGAACAGAGATCGGTTCTGATTTTGCCTCACGAGTAAGGGGGCCTGAATTCTACTCTTGTGTGCTCGGGATAAGCCGTTAACTTCAAACCTACAAAACATCACGTTGAACCCGAGCCTCTTGTCAGGACACGTGTCCTCTATCCGAGTGTCGTGATTAATTGAACGGCAAGGACGCTTCAACACGTAAGCCGCTATGGATACATGCTGACTGCTGCTGATGACTGATGTCCACAAAATAAAACACTACCTCCTTTGCTTAATATAAGATTCTATTTGATTTTTATTTTTATTTTAAATATAAGATTTCAATCCAATTTATCTATCATATTTATACATTTTTCTAAAATAGCTCTTCTAAGAATAATAGTTATAGTCAATACATTTGATTAATAAAGATATTTTAAAAAAGACAACATCTATTTAGGACAAATAACTAAGTCAACTTACTTTTTTAATCTCCTCAAATTAGTCAACTGATTCTTATAATTAGGATCGGAAGAAATACTAATATATTAGCACAGATGATTGATGAATTTCCACGGAATACGCGATACGATTGGAGAATAAATGCAAATTCGTGCCCACATGAATTTATCACAGAAGTTGGAATGTTCGTGTAATATGCTGAATGGACTGGCTTAACAGTGAATATGAAAACATACCATCAAATCAAAATTTTAGCTGAAATTCCAAATCATCGATGCATTATTATTATTCAAAACCCAACCGTTAAATATTAGGAGCACGCTTTTAGTATTCTTGTTGTCTCTATTGTTATGAGGTGGACCATGATTTTTGGGTAATTAATAAGAAGGCTCCAGAACATAGAATCTGAAGTCATCTTCATTTCATTATTAATATATAACTCTCATCTCTATCTATTTTATTTTTCTAATAAAAAACTGTTTACCAAATATAGATTTCATGGTAATCAAATTATTTTGTACTAACACATAGGAAAAAAAAATAATATAGAGACAGATAACTCGAGGCAATAACGACTTTTTCTCTCATGCAGATCGTTCCTTTGCGTGGGAATGAGGGGATGAGGCCATTAATGATTGAGCATATGTACAGAGTGTTAATGGACAAGCGTATTCTGGCAATTGGATTCTCGATCTCAAAGAGAGAGATGGATAGATAGATAAGTACAAAACGGGAGGCCAAAAGCGAGAGGAGGAGGAGGAGGAGGGTTTAAAAAATGGAGGAGTTGGAATATGATTATAGAAATGATATGATGATACCTAATCTTAATTAGTTTAGTCGACATATCAGTGAGAATGACTTGTTCGGATAACATTAAATACAAAACCAAAAGGAGGCCTCAACGGCTCACCAATATATAAAACAGCTAAAGAGCAATTTGGAAATGAGTACAAAAATAAAAGAGGGGGGGGGAATCTTATGTAAGTTTTGGTGGCTATTGTGTTCTGGCAAAAACATGAAAGAGAAGAGGAACATGATTGTTTGTCCAGGTGGGAGTGGGGGTGGCATGGCCCTCCATGTTCCTCCTCTTGCATGTATTTGTGGGTTTGAATGAAGAAGCAAATATAATAATCAATATCTACTTGAGACACTCGGAAAAAGAAGGAAAAAAACCATAATTATGTCAGATGGTACTGTTGTTTGCTTTTCTTTTCCAGATGGGACAACTAACTTACCCACCTACCTCTTGTGTTCCTGTAACAAATGGCTGTTCATATACACACACCCTTCTTCATGTTCCTGAATTTTTCTTAATAACTTACATTTTAAAACCTGTATATAAATGATTTAGCACAGATTATTTCTGTATGCACAGACAGAGTAAACCTCACCAATGATAGAGACTATTTCTGTCAACACAATCGAGATTATTTTTATCTTTACAGCAGTCATGAAGGAACCGTGCAAGCATTGGGAACAAAAATTTGGCCCAGAAGCATTAAAAAGGGAGTGATATCCTCTTTCATTAAAAATCTAACGTTACCAATTAGCGTTAGATTTAACGTCAGGGTTAATTGCTCACAACGTAACAAATCAAAATTCATATCTCTATTAGAAAAAGTATTTACATTTAGCATCCGATAATATCTCTAATAGGTAAATACCTATATGTAGCCAAAAAAAAAATCTTATGTTGCCAACATTTTCAACGAAAAATAAGGCATTGCTCTTTTTAAACAAAACCGAGCCAAAAAGAAAAATTCAAATACCTATATCTCCTTGGCCATTACTTTGTAGATTAAAAATGACTTTGAATGATGATTAATTTTGAGGGTTCGATTTTAACATAATAGGCGGTGGAACTGTGAGACTTTCGCGGAAATAAATATTGTGCATGATTTCATAAGGTAGAATTTTCTCTTATTCCCACGGCGCTTCTTGCTTTTAAAATTAAGAATTTCCATGGCCGTCGGCCAAACGTCGCCTTCAGCTGAGAGCGGAACAAGCTTTCAAAATTTAAAATAATTGTGTGGATACTAAAACTTTATTATATCTCTTCACATATAATATTAGATAAAACAATATGCTTATCTGCAAAGTTAGTGAGCTAGTGACAAGAGACGCTATGATAAATTATGTAGTAATAATTCAAGCAGGGACCGTCGGAGAAATTGGAGCCACAGGTTTCTGTGGACGAATATGACGTCCACCGGCGTCCCTTGAAACTAAAATTAAATTAATTAAACTAAACTAAACTATACTTCATTATTAATTATTCTTATTCTCGAAACTCCACATGACATGACGCGAAACGGTGTGCTTTTGCCCGGCTTTACTTTTGTGTATTTGGAGTAAAAAGGATTAACTTCTTCACTTAAGAAAAAATCATTTTTAAATTTGCAAATCTTCGGATGGACGCAAAGGTAACCGAATCCCTTTTGTGGTACACATAAACAAGAGGTGCTAAGAAATCATTTAGTCTAATAATGAAAGTTTTTTGTTAAGTCAACATTCAATAGGACATCTTGCTAGCGCACTGAATTTTATTTCATAGGAAAGATTATTCTTTATTTACTTAGCCATTTTAAAATTTTGGGGAAAAAAATAACTGTTTATAATATTAGAACCTGACAACTTCGAATAAAATTTAGATGCGTGTGTTAAAAACTTGACATTTTAAGATTACTCTACTTTTAACCAGCTCATCTTCTTAACTGTACTGAACTACCTCTTAGCTTCTCAGCATCTAAAACCCTAGCTATGTCATAGGACCATGGACTAGCTCCCAACTTTAGGGATTATGCTGGATCTAAAGGTAATTTCATTCCTTGAATAATACTAATTTGAAGAAATTAAAAAAACAAGTTAAATTAGTTATTTGTAATAGATAGGTATTGTCTTTCATAAAATATCCTGCTAATCAAGTGTATTGGCTAGAATTACCCTTATTAGAATGACTACCTTGGGAAAAAAATGTATAAATATGATAGACAAAATGGATTGGAGTCTTATATTTAGAATCAAAATAAAAATCAAATGGGATCTTACATTAAAAAACTTAGGTAGTACAATCCTAATGTAAATACCATGTTTACGAGTAAATTTATTAAGTTCTGAAATTATCATAGAAGAATTAAGTTTTTGAGGGCTGCGGTGGAGTTTTTGAGACCTGTCACTAAGTTGTGCTGTTCATTGTATGAGAGTGTCTTTGTCCATTTCTAAATTCATGATCTTTAGCATCATTTTTTTGTTGTTTTGGTGGTCCTGCCATGTGATTAAGGCGAAATGGGGCTGTACGTACTCTCTATTATTGTGGGTTTTGATTATTGAAGGTGCTTTAAATGAATATTTATTTCTCTTCGCATTGAAAAATAGATGAAAAAGAAACCCAAAAAAAAAAAAAGAATGTAAACCTGGTCAACAGTTTGTAACACTTAATAGCAAGTCTCATTTCATTTGGCGTATGACACTTTTAAATGGAAAATAGCAGATGAAGAGATAGAAATAAAGAGACTACAAATTTGTATTAAAAGCATATAAACCCGCTGGAAGGAAAAAAAAAAAGCATATAAACTAATATATGAACAATTCCGGGTTTGGATGTACGAATTCGGGCAAACCAAGTGCTTAGGGCCATTCCTTTTAAAAATAAAAAATAACAAAAATTTCACACATCACCCCCCAACACACGTTTGTATGTGTGTCAAAACTGATATTACCCTGTCTTTAATATGAAACATATTAAAAAAAAAAACATAGCTGACTAATTTAGTGAAATTAAAAAGTTAAAAAAAATTACTATTACATGATTTCTTTAAAAATATTTATATATATCATTAGACTATATATTAGTTTATAAGCCAACCAAACTAATTTAAACAAAAACGATAAATATAATACTTTAAAATAATTTATTTAACTTTCCAAGGGCCTATTTGAAATAGTTTAAAAGCAATTTTTCAGTCGTAACATATAAAATACGAAGTAAGTATGTGAAGAACGCTTATAAACACCTATAATTGCAGGCATAACTAATTTTTTAATCTCATCAAATTAATTAATTGGGTTTTATACTAAAAACCTTAATAGCATATTAGAAATTAATCTCTGAATCAGTCAAAGCACTGGCCCATAATCCACTGACAGGATCTGTTGCAGGTAATTGGTCGCGATTGACTTCGTATAATTTAAAATTTTTTATTAGATATTGTACATACTTGTTTTATAGATTATAATTTTACTAAATAAATTTTTTCCATTCGCCCGTTGATTTTCTTTTTGAATACTTGAGATATAGGTATGACTAAACACTTCTCTTGAGATTTTTCCTAAGCACTGAGTACAAAATTTCTATAGATGATATATTCGTAAGCCATTGGTCTCCCCACTACATTAGGCTGGTTTTCTTTCGGATCATGTGGGGCACAAAATTGACGCAATATAGGCCTGCTGTTATTTGTTTTACATAACTATTAGGCCCAATTTACGTGGAAGATTCATTTCTTGCTCATACCAGAAGAATTACATGTTTGCACCAAAAAAAGAAAAGAAGGAAGAATTACATGCATATACCGCACAACAACAAAAAAAAAAGTGAAAACAAAGATTCCTGTGACGGACTAATATTTTAATTTCAGTTGGGAGAGGTAGTCACGTTTAATATTTAATAATGTCTCAAATAGAATTATTGTCAACTAGAGAATACCACTAAAAGGCGGGAATGATTTTTTAGACATAAAGACAAACAACAGAAGTTTTTTTTTTTTTCCCTTTGCCATGGACTAAAAAGCAAGTGCACAATAATAACTCTGCTCTGGTTTTTGGGCCGTATCTGGAGGATCATGATCAAGTTCAATATCATCTTCATGATTCTACATGCTCTATCATGGCCGTAGAAGTAAGCAGGATGATTTATGATGCAAGAATTTCACAGGCGCTGTTCTCCCTGTTTAGCTTTGTTTTCTTGTTCATCGTTATTGTTGGAAATACGATAAAGAACCTCAAAAATTGATTGATAATGGCCTGTTTAGAAGTCAATGTCATATACATTTTTTTAATAAAAAGATCAATGTTACTCCTTCGGTCCTTAATATAAGACCCATTTAATTAATTTGATTAGATTAAGGAAGTTAGGTAAGTTAGTAAATAATAAAAATGACACATTTTTCCTAAAACACCATAATTATCTTATTAATACCTCCTTTCCATATTTTGTTTGATTATGGTTAATGGAGTATCTATAGGGGTAATTAGAGAAATTGATAAATATGATAAAGGGTCTATATTTAAGACCAAAATCAACTCAAGAATTTGGCCCTATATTAAGGACCGAAGGAATATAAAATTAAAAAAGTCATATAGTTAAGTTCTGCGTTGAAAAGGTTAGGAAATAAAAAATTAGTAAAATACCAATTTTGTAAAAGAGTAACTAGAAAAAAATTGCAAATTCTCCTTGTAAAAGATAACATTAGTGTGATTCAAGAATGCAAAGAAAGTTGAGGCAACTTTAGTAATCTAATAAAAGATAAGTCTTTGGTACGAGATGGAAAAAAGAAAATGATGAGGAGATTGTTGTTTCACCAACTTGAAGGTTTGAGTTTCATCATGATCAAGAAAAATAACATGCCTTCAATTTTTAACCTTTCGTGTGTTTAATGCATGTATATTATTTAAAAGATTTGTTACCCTCCAATACTAATGCAGAATTACATGAACACCGTCACTCACAGGATGACGATGACGTTGAAACAGAATATATCAGACAAGAAGGGTGGTGGTGGAGGTGATTGGAGAAGGAGAAGGCTTCGGGGATGGGGAGTGGAAGGAGAAGGGCGGAGGAGGTTTGAAAAGGACAGAGCTAATGACAAGAAAGAGAGAGTAATTTCAATACATAAAATTATTATTTATATAATAATATAATCTAAGGAAGTTAATACTTAATACAAATTTGTCATAAATAACTAACTAATTTTTTTAATGTTATTAATAAGAGATAGTATTCAATATATAAGGTGTATAATCCAAGATTAATGAACCTTTTAATATTTTAGGTAATTATTCATGCCAAAGATGCTGCCTTTGATGCCTTGAATTAACCGGATTCATGATTGCAGGAGAAAAACAGAGAATAAATAATCAGTAGTCAATCTCCTTGGTGGCTTTTTTTTAAAATTTTTTTTGCCAGCGAATCTCCTTGGTAGATTTTTTTTTTTTTTTAAACCACACCCGTTGGGAGATTGATGGAAGTATGCGAGCACCAAATAATGTGTTGATTCCATGTGTCCTATCCAGTGAATGTGACTGAACCAAACAGTTACAGTATTTTCTTCAAACCTAAGTATCCATTCAATTAATCATCACCCTCCACGTGTAATTACATGTGATATCCATCATATATTTGTGTCTCATTTCTCCCGCACTGTTCACCTAAGAAAAAAACAAGCGTGCCACGCTTTATTTGGGGCTCTATGAAATTTACTTCTCCAATAGAGCAGTAATCTACACCGCGAGATCTAATCAAGTCGCCGGACGCTTCCATCGGACGGTACATGACTGTCCACGTGTCACGACATCTAATTCGGATGTCCCTGGTGATGAGAGAAGAAGAAACGGTCTTCGTGCCGCGCCCAGGACAATTTTGCGTCCTCTCTGATCTGAAGGATGACCAGTCTGGGCATACGACACAGCATTCGGACGGGAACCTAACTACTGGGAAACTGCTTCATTTTCCTCTTCCCCCCTCTCGGATTCCCTTGTACACCTCCGCCACGCTGGATCACTAGCTCTTCTCTTACCGGCTGCGAAGGAGCTCGGATGGACGAAGATCCGACTTGTTGCTGAGACTTTCGGATCATTGTCGGAGGGATCGGGTTCGGGTTGCTGGCGCGTCCCTTGCGAGGGTGTATTGTTTTCTCTCCATATATAGGAAGCTGGCGGTGATGAGAGGGAGCTGCTGTGTGGTTGAAGTTGAATCGTCGGGGCAGAGCAGAGGTTCCCGGCAGCTCCTGGTAGCCCCGGTTAAATCGGTGAAGATCAAGCTTTTGCTCTGTTGTTGCATTGCGTTTACGGTGTTCGTGCTCACCTGCAGTGCTTCCGCCTTCGCGGTATGGACCAATCAGAGTCCTGTTTTCACTCCTTACTCTGCCTCAAGGTTCGTGGATTTTTATACTAACGGACTTTTGTTTTTGGATCAGTTGGTTATTCCTTTGCATATGTTATGCTCCACTTACTAGTTCTCAAAATTTCTATTTGGGGCGAGCATGGGAGGAAGCGAACCTAGGGGGGAAAAAAAGATTGCCTTCCTCAAGTAACTTAGATCATTTCAGTTTTTGGTTGAAATATTGCCAAATAATATTTTGAAAGGGATCCCCAGCAGCTGATAGTTTGCTTATAACGGCTTCTATAGACACAAAAGAAAAAGAGTAGGACAGTGAATTGATAAAGGCAAATGAAAGTTTCCCTTTCCACTAAAAATAGAAAGAAAGAAGGTAAACGAAGTTGCAAATCTTCATAAAAAAAGTTGCAAATCCATTCTATGAAGTAGATATTGTTGTGCTTACCTTGGATATATAAGGTTTTAAAGCGTGGATATAGTCCGATAAGGCTCTTTTTTTAGTGCTACTGTGGCACGTTGAATGTCTGCTTGAGTAATATCCATATCCTCTCTCCGACAAAGGTTGGCTTTTCAAGTCACAATTATCTGAGTTTTAAAATTCTCGCTTGGGGATTTAGCCGTTTAGGTTAATTTATGTTACCAAACTAATTCATGAAATGGGGTGTTGGAGACAGGACCTTAAAACGAGACTGGTGAGGACACCTTCAGGGTCTAGAGTTTAAATCACAACTTTTAGTTCTTATAGATTCTCTTCAAATCACCATAACCCTTTGCTTGGTCTACGGTATAATTGCTTTCTAACTTGCTCTTAATTTTATCATGAATGACTATCCATTTTCTTATGGAGTCTGGAGGAGGACACGCTGCCTCACATTGTCACGCTTTTTGGAGAGCATTGTGAGATGATAAATATAGGCTGCTGCTCTTAATTTTCATTTCCTTCAGGTGTTGAGCTTATATAGATTGCAATGTTTGGGAACTTATTTCATTCTATGTTTCTTAACAGGAAAGGATATTCTATTGTAATGAACACATGGAAGAGATATGATCTCCTAAAGCAATCCATCAAGCACTATTCATCATGTCCTCGGCTAAAATCAATACATATTGTGTGTGGAGCGAACCTAATCCTCCTTCAGATTCCCTTTTAAAGTTTTTACACCATGTAGTGCAGTCCAATTCTAAAGATGGGCGACACGTCAAATTGAAGTTTGATATCAATGAAGAAGACAGTTTAAACAATAGGTTTAAGGCAATCAAAGATTTAGAGGCAGATGCAGTCTTTTCCATTGATGATGATGTCATATTTCCTTGCTCTTCTGTGGAATTTGCATTTGATGTTTGGCAAAGTGCACCAGACACAATGGTGGGATTTGTTCCCCGTGCCCATTGGGTACATTCCTCGGTATGATTATACTTATTTTTAAATCCCTCTACTGGCTGTCTGTTATCCCTTATAATTTTGATCACATAATATTTCCTTTTTGGTTATCTTTTGTACAGAACAATGTCGGTATATGAGTTAGGACCTCTAACTAGCATTATATTTGACGGTGGTACCTTTCAACATTCTGTTTCCAAAATAGAAAGCAAATAGTTTTTGTGGACAGATTGAGTGGAGTTCCATTTCAAAAGTAAGTCTTATTTAGACAAGTAATTTAGAGAGAGAGGGAAAAAAAAAAAACCAATGTTGATTACAACTTGGGTTATGGCAAGATAACTTGTTGATTCTTATGTAGATTACCATCATAACAGGGGAGCTGTTATATCATTGTCAGCGAGGATTTGAGTTTAAACGGAAAGAAAAGTTGAACTTCTTTTGTTAACTAAGAGTGTCTCTTAGTATGGTGATCCGATATACTAGAAGCTGTAGTTTAGTGTCTTTCATCTGTAATTCTTGATGTGAATTTGCAATTCAATTTATGTAATCCTTCAACCCTTGAAAGTTTGTCTGTCTTTATGACTGTTATTTCTTATTGGTTTAGTGAGATTCTTATGAGGATGGGGCCCATTTAAAACTTCTTATGTTGACCTTTCAAGTTATTCAACTCACTTGCAGAAAGGAAATGGTGATAAATTTGAATACGGGGGTGGTGGTCTGTGTGGTGGACTGGTACGTACAGCATGGTGCTCTCCAAGGCAGCATTCTTCCACAAAAGTATTTTAGTCTCTACACGAATGAGATGCCTGCATCAATTAGAGAATATGTGACCAAGAAAAGGTTCTTTCTCTTAAAAAATTAATTGCTTCCTTCTTGGTTTAAAGACTTGAATATTGTAAATTATCTGATTCCTATATTATTACGTTGTTGTTAAATGATTTCACCAGGAATTGTGAAGATATTGCAATGTCTTTCCTTGTTGCTAATGCAACTGGTGCACCACCGATATGGGTGAAAGGTAATTGCTATCTCTGAAACAGATCATCTCCTTGTCCATGAGATATTGTGAACATTTGGCCCATCTTATGAGGATGACGACATCATGTGCTGTTATTTGGGTACAAAGGCATTATTTTATCCTTTTTCAATAGACGCAAGAAAATAGAAATGCAAAATTCTGCTAAACCGGCAATGTTCTAACTTGTGTATAGAGGGAACTATTTCTAAATTGTTGGAACGTATGTTATATCTCATAATTGAAGAATTGGAGAAGCTAAAGTAGGCATTTCTGCTACTCATATATCTATCATCATAATTGTTCCATTCATGTCAATCTGAAGCCTCTCACGATCAATAACTATTTTTGGATTCAGCGAGAGGCGTTGAGATTCTATCTCAATCATTTTCAGCCAGCAGATGCTCCAAATTGCTTGAACAGAAAAGAATCATTTCATTTATTTAAGTTGTAATCGGAAGATTAGGATCCATTTAAACTGTCTCTTACTGAATCCAAATCTCGGGTGGGGCTTTTCATCTTTACCATACCCCTCTTTTGGTTGCCTAGTGATGCAATTCATCAAAGTACGTAGTCAGTAACCTGTATATTACTTGTTATACCAATTGAAGCTTGTGAATGAGTCGGTGCTTGATTTTAGATTGTCTTGCTCATATATAATCCACAGTTTTGGACATATCCCATCTGTGCATGGATACATCCACATATCAAATTTACTGATACTTTTTTTTCTTTACAATCTTCTAGGTAGAATATTTGAGATAGGATCAACCGGAATCAGCAGCCTGGGTGGTCACAGTGAAAGAAGAACAGAATGTGTAAACAAATTTGCTGCAGAGTATGGAAGGATGCCCTTGGTGTATACTTCAGTGAAGGCTGTTGACAGCCGCAACGCCTGGTTTTGGTGATGCCATCTAGGTTCAAGTTTAGCTTGAAAAGAAATTCCACGATCCTGAATTAGCTAGCTATCTGATTCTTTTTTTAGTTCTACTGTTTTATATGAAATCCTATAGTAAATCACAAGTTTTTATGGTGAAAGGTAACATATCAAATTCCTTTGATTGATTCATTGTATAATTGACAGCTAATACAAGGGTGCTGCCACCCTGGCGTGCTTTTTGTCTCCTCATTATGAAGTGATTGTAGATTTACGGACTTTTTATATCCTTTAGTGAAGTAACTTGTTCAGGAATCTTACACTCTGGTCTTCCATCTCATGTACTGCCCCTTTTTTGTGTGAGAACAAGGTTCAATGGCTTTAGTTTCTGTAAGGAGGACGGTTCACTTGACCATCGTTTTGACATGCTTGTTAGTAGCATCTAAACTTATTTAACAGAAGACTTGAAAATATTATTGCGGGT